CAAAATGCTAACTGCCTTTGAACCACAGTAAGTCTCATACTGATTTATCCACAAAGAAGATGAGTCCAAGAAAGAAAGTACACTTCCAGCTCTCTCTTACAGTGAGAAAGACTCAATTGCAGTCACACTGCTTGAAAGACTGTTGCCTTCCACAGGACTGTAGTCACCAATTCTTATCAGGTGATCTTGACAACTTTCAGAGTGGGCCTGTGATCCAGATAGGAGGGGTCTTGGGTATGTTTCTTAGGCCGCAGGAGTTTCAGATGCTGTTGGGGAGTGCCTAACCATTCCAACTCACTGTACTTGTACCAGGACAAGAAGGTACCAGATTGTCTCAACTCACTGCCCCAGTAGGAAAGGTCAGAAATTGCCAGATTATCCAAGCCAACCGCACTTGCAATTGAAACAAGAACAATGCTGGGCCCACTGCCCTGGCAACTAAAGCAAGAACAATGTTGGCTTGTCTTGATATTGCAATGCCACCCAGGGAGCAGGGGGAGTTGCACCACCACAGTTGGGTAAGGTTGCTGCTGGTGCCCTGTTTGCCAGACAAATAGAGGACCTGTCTTATGCACAACTGGTGACTACACAGCTATCAGCTGAGAGTCCAATGTTGATCCTTTCACAATATATCAGATACTTTTTATATGTTCTTTACTAAGCAGTTCAGTATTTAAAAATAAATAAAATTACAAAATACTGCCCTTTTTTGACCTGGGTGAATGTAAAGTTGCTACAGTTTTAAACAGATAAAACAGGGTTTAGTTAAATGTCTGTTAAGTTTTGGAATTATTATGAGTAAAGAAGCTTTGAAATAGCAGATAGAAACACGGATGCTCCCATTCCTGGGTAAACTACAGTTTTGTGGCAAAGTCAGTAATGCTCAAATAAAAAAGCCAAAACTTCAAATGGAGAAATGGAGAAGCAACATCTGTTCTTAGAGGCACAGGCTGCTAAAGTGGCCACTTTTCCTGCAGGCAGAGAGATCTGTGACTAAACATTCTTCACTTCCGTGAGCCTTCAGCCCTCAGAGAAACAATCTTACACACATTTAAACTTGTGACTAGCTAGAGTGGAGTTATTCAAGTCAGTAATTACATCTCAATGAATACTCATGTATTCTGACCTTCCTATCAGGAAAATAGGACCTTCAAATCTCACCAAAGAAAAGATTACTTAAAGAACAGTTTTCTTTGGAGATGCCAGGTACCTACAGTTCCAAGGGATTTCAGCAGGAACTGCACAAGTGGTCAACAACCAAAGTAAGCTGTTGTGTTGTGATATCTTATGTTTGATTTCTCCTTGATTAGTGTATGTATCCCAAGACATATTGCTTCGTTTTCAACAGGAGGGGGGTAACCATTCATGAGAGGTAATATCTGACCATGAATTGCATGACACAAAGGAGAAAATAGCCGAGATAATACAATGAAGATAACAGAAATTTAAACATCTCCCCCCAAATTGTTTTAAAAAAATAAATTTTATTATAAGTTTCTAAAAACTGGATTGTTATTAGTTTTGTGTTATACGGGTACTTTCCTTCCCATTTCATAACCTTTTCTAAATAATTATTGGAGGAGAATGAGGGTTTGGCTCACAACAGGCAAGTAAAAAAAGAAACACCTACTACTCCAATCAACTTACAAGGCTCCTTCTCACCTGAATACTTTGGTTATGGACATGGATTAGAGGGTAGACCTACACTGGTG